AGGCCCTGCTCCCTCGCGCGGCCACTGAGCGGCCAAGAACTAGGAGGCGTCCGCCGGCCCAACGGGCTTCTCCGGGAACCTGACAGCGGCGTGCCGAAACCCGCCCCCCACGGCCGCATTCCCGACCCGAGCCCCGGACCTCGGCCATTTTCGAGCCCCGCCGCGGACTTGCCTCCCATCCCCCAGGCTCAGCTCCAGTCCGCTTCGGCTGTTGACCTCCCGGGCCCTGCCCACCCGCCTTCCGCCACTGCCCTCTTGACCCGCGCGGCCCCGCCGCTTTTTTCTGCCCTGCTTTTCCCAGTCCTCGGAGCCCCCATCCCCATCCCCTCTCCCGCCTTAGATACCCCAGGAACGCTCCCTTAGCTCTCTCCCCGACCATCACCAGTGGAGTTTTTTTATTTTTATTTTTTTAAAAGTTTAGGTGCCTTTGCGGATGACCTCATTTTGATGTTGGAAAAAAGTGATTTTTTAAATATGTGGACACTGCAAAAAAATGTGCTTAAATTATCTTTTTTAAAACCTATTCAGGATTATTAGCCTGGACTTCGACACAGAGTTTGTAAATAAAGGTGTCTGTGCAGATTTTCCCACTGATTTATTTGTATAAAAATACTCATCTTTTCAGACTTTTTGTAAACTCCCAGTTGTGAAAACTGCGGTTTAGCTGTGACCTCAGCAACCCCTCCGTTTTATTTTCCCCTTTGAAAAAAAATTCTGTTAAATTAAGCTACTGATTTGGATTTGTTTTATCTTATCCTAAAGTCTTTGTTCTTGAAATGAAAGGTATTTTGGGGTTATTTATTATGAAAACAACATGCTCTTAATGTTGATTTTACAATATGAAGAGGTTATTTAAATAAATTATTGTTTTCATTGGATGTGCGCGCTTTTTCCTTGGTGCCAGGGTTCCGTCGGTCACGTGCTCAGAGCTCGAGCCGCTGCCCAGGCCGGGAATCCGCTCAGCCGAGAGCGACATTGACATCTCTGGGAGACTGCGAGCACCCGCAGGCGCGGCGAGGCAACGACAGGCGCGCTCGGGTTGGGGCAGCTGCGGAGGGTTCACGCTCCGCCCCCGCTCAAGTCCCAGCGCCGGGTTCGCT